CCACTTTCTAAATAGCTTGCCTCTGGAAACTACAAACTTAGAGAAACAATGAAAGTTATACAAGTATTCAGATCTTTCCCTCATAGGGTCACTATGAGTCAATTAGACGGCACTTAACAACGAGAGAGCTCTGTTGGCCTACTGGATAGAAAATTATGCTACCAAACCAAAGGTGGGTGATTTTAAGCTGTGGCTCTCAGGGCTGGTTTTAATTGGATTTGGTAGTTAGGTACCCCTTGAAATTATTTAGGAGTGATGATGTCAGTTTTAGGAATAAGGTCCATCTAATTCAGGTCATGGTATTTTCAATCACTTTCTATGCATCTGCAAGCTGGACAATCAGTAAGGATGACAGAAGAAGAGTTGTGGTGTGGGAGAACATTGCTGACTATCCTATGGATGGCCAAAAGAGCAAACAAATACACATTGGAGAAGGTGTACCCTTAGTGCTCTTCAGAGGCAAGGATGATGAGGCTTTGCCTCACATACTTCAGGCACGTTGCTAAAAGGGGCTATTTTTTGGATAGGAACATGATGGTAGAGAAAGGTAGAGGGTTGGCGAAGGAGAGGAAGACCCTTGACCAGGTGGACTGACACAGTGACTGCTGTAATGGGCTCTAAAATGTAAGGAAGTGTGACGATGCCACAGGATAGGACAGGATTCATATTTGTTGTTCATAAGGTCACCATGGGTTCTACTTGACTCGATGGTACCTAACAACAATATCTAGACCAAGAAGCTATTGTACAAACAGAGCAAGGGAATATTGGATGACTTACAATTGGGAAAGGTGTACTTTTGAGTTGTACCTTTTCTCCATACATATTCAATCTGTATGCTTAGTAGATCATTCCAGAAGCTAGACTTTTTGAAGAAAAAGTGGCATCTGGATTGAAGAAATTAATCAACAACCTGTGTTATGTTGATGGCACAACCTTCCTGGCTGAAAGTGAAGCAGACTTGGAGTGCTGGATGCAGAGAATCAAGGTTTACAGCCTTCAACACAGAGTACATCTCAACATCAAGAAAATAAAAATCCTTCCCTTTTTGAAAAGCACTCATTGGGCCTTTTGTCAGTGACCCACCGAGCCATCAAGAAAGGGCAGAATAAAAATACCACTTATGTGTTTTGTTTCAATTGATGGTGTGACAAGGTATTCTACCTTTGTAATTAACTGGAGTGTGAAAGTGGCAAGGCTTTGGTTTGGGGGAAGTGCTGCTAGTGGATAAAATACTCTTTAATATGCTCTGGAAAATAATTTTTGTAGGAGCCAAAACTCTATATATCATCTCTGTGAAGGGGATCAAGGGACGACTTAACATACTTCCTGCTGCTGGTGTGGGTGATGACCACTGTCAAGAAAGGGAAACCAGAGCTCAGAAAGAAGATACATCCAGCAGTGGTAATGTGACAACAAAAGTCATACCGGAGAAATGATGGGGTGTTTATTTTGAAGATAATGCAGGAGTCATAGTAAACAATAAAGGCGAAATGAAAGGTTCTGCCACCACTGGACCAGTTGCAAAGGAGTGTGCAGACTTGTGGCCCAGGATGGCATCCAATGCTGGCCTCAGTGCATGATTCTCCAATGTATTTGTAAATAAAGAAAAAATTAGAAGTTCACCCGATTAAAAAATTATTTGCTACCAAAAAACAAAACAAAACAAAAACAACCCCTCCCCCCAAAAAAAACAGAAAAGAAAAATCCTCACTACTGGGCCAACAGGCAACATCATGATAAGTGAAGAAAATATTAAAATTCTCAACAATTTCATTTTCCTTGGATCCATAATTGCCACCTGATTGTCATCAAGTGTTACAGCACTAGAAAGATCTGCAGTCGAGGATCTTCCCAAAGTCATGAAGAACAATGAAATCATTGTAAAGACTAAGGTGTGCCTGATTTAAGCTAGAGCTTCTCCACTTACCAACTATGCATCTATGACCTGGACAATGAATAAAAGTGACAAGAGAAGAAATGCTACATTTGAGTTGTGGTGTTGGAGAAGAGTGTGGGAAATTCTGTGAAGCACCAAAAGAACAGATATGTCTTGGAGAAAGTGAAACCAACGAGTGCTTCCTGGAGGCAATGATGGTGAAGCTTCATCTCACATACTGACTGCTGCAGTAACTGTGTCAATCCGTCTTGCTGAGGGTCTTCCTCTCTTCCCTTGACCCTCTACCTTTCCCAGCATGAAGTCTTTTCCAAGGAATGTTCCCTCCTGACAATAATCCCAAAGTATGTGAGGCAACATTTCACCTGAATAACCTTGTTTCTTAGTTGTACTTTCTCCAACAGATTTGTTCTTTGGGCAGTCCATGGAATATCCAGTACTCTGCTTCAGTGCCACAAATCAAAGACATTGATGATTCTTCTGCCATCTTTATTCATTCATTGTTCAGCTTTTCACATGCATAAGAAATAACAGAAAATACTATGGCTTGGATCAGAAGCATCTTACCCTTCAAAATTATATTCTTGCTCTTTAGAACTTTAAAAGAGCTCTTAGACAGAAAACTTCCTCAATGCAACACATCTTTTGATTCCTTGGCTGTTGCTACCAGTAAGTGTTGACTGTAGATCCAAGTAAATGAAACCACTGATAACTTCTGTTTTTTTGATGAATTGCATTGAGAAAGTCTGCTGTCAGAGACCTTGCCAAAGTACTGAAGAGCAAAAATGTCAGTCTGGAGACCAAGGTGCACCTGTTGCAGGTCCTGGTCTTTGCAGTTACTTGCTATGCATGAGAGTGCTGGACAATGACTAGGGATGATAGAAGAAGAGTTGATGTCTTTGAGCTGTGGTGCTAGAGAAGAGTATGAAATATACCATGGACTGCTAGGAGAACAAACAAGTTTTTCCTGGAGAGGGTGAAGCCAGGCTGCTCCTTGGAGGCAAGGATTCTGAACCTGGATTTGAACTGACAGAGAGTTGCCGCCTTTGGATTTACCAGTGCAATTCCCTAACCACTATGCCACCAGATCTCCCTGATAAACATGAAAGGGATTGGAAACTGCCAATTTACGAAAGTATACACAGAAAAAGAACTTCAGCAATAGAAATGAGTATTTTATTCCCTGAGATTTGCTGGTAGAAATGGCATTTATGTTCAGTTCTGAAATTTTGATTATTAAGTCTCTGAGGAAGACCTTCCCATTGTTGCAACATCCTTTACCCATGCATTGGTAATTAAGCAGAAAAGAAATAACTGGTTACACTGGACTCTCTATACCTTCCCCTGGCTGCTAAGTTATACATAACTTTAAAAACTTTAAGAAAATCTTAAAATAGTAGGGGATCCTCTGTCTTCCTAAAAATGTATAAATCCAAATAGTCACAGGAATATAGACACATGTTATTATTTTGGTTAATGAAGAAGAGAATACGGCTGGAGTTGATCTTTTAGAAGTTCATAAATATATATATTAAGAAATAATGACTTATGTTCCCCATTAAGTCATTAAACTCAACCTTGTCTGCTTATTAGGCTATTGCAAAACTTGGCACTCACCAGTAACATGTAGTATCCGTACAACGCTGTGCAATGATGAATTACAAACATTTTATCACCAATCACTCTCCAATAGTAAAAGATAAGCAACAAATCTGTAAGAAGATAAAAGTAGCAAAATATTACATAACAAGTACCTACACTGCTATCCAAAAGTATTTAACCTTTTTTTTTTTTTACTGACAGCTTGTCACTGTCTAACAAAGCCCACAGCAGAACCCCTCAGTTATCCCAACAACCTGCTTTATCTGAAGGTATCTGCATTGACAGAACTGCCTCACTCACTTTGGAGTAGTTCAATGGTAAATTCTTGCTTACATAAAACAGGACCTTCTCTCATAAAGTAAAAATCACAAATTTAAAATTAGATATTTAGAAAGAAAAAGAAATCATCAAATTACAAATCTTAAAGTAAAAAGAAATAAAATATGAAATATCAATAAAAGTAATTTAATACTATAGCTGCCTCATATACATACCTCTAAGTATATTTTAACTACTTATTCTGGTTGCACACACTTTGGTCATCAATTTATAACAATGATTTTGCAATATCTTTTTGTAGAGAAAAAAGAATTCATTATTTTAATTTCAATTTCTATTTTTAAAATATAATTTTATTTTATACTGGTTTACTTACAAAGTTCATAGACACTGTTTTTCATACAGGATCTTTCCCATTTCCTTTATCCATCCCTCCCTCCCTCTACCCATCAAATTGTGCGGCTCTATGATTAGACCACCTCCCCCCGGCCACAAGAATTCATTTTTAATTTAGCTTTCAAATTTTTCTGCTATGTCAGAAAACGATTCTTCAGCTTCAGAGCTCATTTATTTTTTTTATTTGAGAAAACTTTGGTATTATCTTATTTGAGAAAGCCTATATCAAGTTTATTTCATGCCAGATTGTCTGAGTGGTACTACTCTCACTTCACTTGACGCCACTTAATAACCACTGTATGTGTTATATTCTGAATTCTGTATTATCCTTGATAAGGACATTGAGTGTCAAACCAGAACATCTTTTCTACTGTACACATAATCCACTCTTCTTTTAATTGGATTATTTTAGTAATCTAGTAACTTAATATTTCTGCTCAAAATGATTTCTTCTTTAACAAATTATTGCATTTTGCTATGATCCCACTTTTTGGTTACAATGTACTTCTCAGGGGTAGAAAAAGCATATAGATTTCATTTATCATCCTTGTTTTGCAATATACTGGTTTTATTTTTCTCTCAATTTGTTAATTTTTTAAATTACAAAATGATATTCCTATACACATGCCTATATCAAGAATCTGTTATTTCATTCTTATTTTATTGAGATGGAACAAAATTATTTTTGCCATTAAAAAGACATAATCTGAATTTCGCCTCCCCCTAAACTAACTGCATAAATGTCTTTGGTCACACCTACCCCATCTAACATAAAGGGAAATATGAAAGCGGGCAATGTGGGGTAGAAAAGGGCTGGATTTTAGTTGATGATTGTTAAAATTTACTTCCATGCTGTCCAATCAGTTCAGGCTCATGGTGGCCACCCACCCTCTATCAGTTTTCTGAGGCTACAAATCTTAACTGGAAGAAACTGCCTCTCTTTATCCTGAATGGAGCCGTTGGTGGATTTGCACCATTAACCTTTTAGTGAGCCACACAGCATGCTACAAAATGCACCACAAAAGCAGCAAGGAACAACAGATTAAAAACCAAGGTGTACCTAACCCAACGTATGGTATTTTTCAATAGCTTCATAAGCATGTGAAAGTTGAACAATTAATAAGGAAGACCAAAGAAAAACTGATGTGTTGGAATTGTGTTGGCAAAAAGTACTGAATATATATCATGGACTGCCAAAAGAACAAACAAATCTGTTTTTAAAGAAATACAGCCAGAGTGCTCTTTAGAGGCAAAGATAGCAAGACTTTGTCTCAAATAGTTGGAGTATGTTGTCACAAGGGGCCAGTCCCTAGAAAAGGACATGATGCTTGGAAGGCTGGAGGCTCAGAGTAAGAGAAGATGACTTTTAACAAGATGGCTTGACACAGTGACTGCAGCAAGGGGTTTAAGTAGTGGAGATTTGGGGATGGAGAAGGATCAGGGAAAGACTAGGTCTGCTGTTTACTGAGTTGCTATGAGTCAGAGCTGACTGGAAGGCACCAACATGATGATTAAAACAACTTTTGTAAATTTTCACAAAACAAAGCAATCACCCTAGTAGCACCATTTAAAGGTCCTTCAGTGAGGGACCTTGAAGCTTAAATTCTAGTGTCACAGTTATTTCACCTGAGATATTCTTATGACACAAAGGGACTAAAAAACAATCGGGGAATGAGAAAGATCCTGCAATTCGTGGCAAGTCCACGTGTTACAGAGCAGAGCTGGGCTTCACAGGTTTCCCGGACTATAATCTTTATGGAAGCAGATTGCCATTCCTATAGTACATTGCACCATGCATGGGTTAGACTGCCAACTTTTTTGGTTAGCAACCAATAATAATTCATTTGCACTCCCATGGACCTAGAAAGGTAAAAAATATCTTGAGTTTCAATGGTCTGGGCTCCATGGTGCAATTCTGACACAATCGACAGGAAAAATGTTTCATCCTCCAATAAACAAGCCAAAAATATACACGATGTATTCTCTACACAACCCACAAGATTTTTAAAAAAGCAGACAGTAAGGCACATATCACTTACCAGAAATGAGGTAGCCTAAAGAAATAGAAATATTCACCTTCACAAGCGATGAATCACCCCTAGAAATATTTTTTAAAAAATTGAGTTTCCATTTTCTTTTTAGCACATTACTTACATATGGTGCCTACTTTGATTTATATTGAGATATAAATATAATGAAAACATTTTCTGTAATTACTCAAATGTTAAAATGCCATTTTCAAATACTGATCATAAAATATGCTGTAACAGCTTAGTAGAGCTGAAATGATCCCATAAAACCAGTATTAACAAAGAAATCTTGATAATCCCACCTACCATCTGATAAGGAAATCTTGTATCCTTCTAGTTGACTAAAAGATGACTCATTTCAATCAAGACATTTTGTGTGGTCCACAATTTCCCTTAAATTTACTCGAGACACAGGCCAGTCTCCAAAATTTAATAAATCAACTCTTGTAATTCAAACTAGGCTCAACTTCTCTAAATTACCTAAAGCCAGTCCATATGTAATACTTGAAGGAGAAGACAACTTCCTGAATGTAGTTAAGACTCCCTGATACATTTTGCACTAAACCCAAGTGCTTGAAGCTATTCACAGAGCCTCCAAATTTAGACAGTAAGAGTTTGGGCTTGTTTTGTTTTGTTTTGTTTTGTTTTGTTTTAACTTCCTCCTACTCCTATCTAGAATTTATTAGGTATCACTCACACCACAAGTTGAATTTATGTTTGGTTTTGGAAGATACCTACAGATGAACTACTAACATCATTCTAAGTTGCCTAAGGAGTGTCTCAATTATGTTTTCTCTGATATTGAGATATTAAAAGCTGACTGTTTTATTTTTTTAAAAAAGAATAGAATCAATAAGAATAAATAGAATGCACAAAATACTGTGTTAGCTATTGTACTTCTAACTGCATAACCATAATTTCTCATACACAATAGCTAATTTTTTTTTACTAAACCAATTAAGGCAAAAGACAACTTTTTAAATGTCTTCTCAAAGTATTTGTTTGTAAGAGGATCCAAAAAAATGGCAGATGCTATTAATTTTTTTCCACTTCTTATTTGAATCAAGAACAAAAACACTCTGTGAAATCTCACCAGGTCCAGCCTCTGAGTCTAAAAACCACTATGCTAGTGTCAGCATTTTACTAAAGACTAAAGAGTACTGTCTATTAGCATATAACTAGGAAGTTATCAGAATACATCAGTTTCATAACTCTGCTGTTTCAACTCCTACACATACCAGGAGCTAATATTCTTATCCTACTCTTGCCTTTTACTGAAAGGGAAAAAAATTATAAATGATCAGTCCTTTATCTTACTTATGAGTCAAATACTTAAATCTCAATAGAAAAAAGTTAGGTGTCAATTACAACAAAATAAAACTATCAGCAGCTAAAAACTACAAATGGAAATACTCAGTTTTAGTTCTTGTAATCTTTACAAACTTGGATCTGAAAAATATGGCACATGAAAATATAACTAGAATAAAATATAGCATAAATACACAAAAATATGTAGAATAATAAGTAGAATTTTGATTAAAAAAATCAAAGAGTCAAATCTTTGGCATAAAGTGTACTTCTCCAAAGAATGGAGCCTTTTAAGATATCTAAGAAAAATTTAAAAAAGAAAACCCTAGGAATAATTTAGATAAATAACAGACACCTAATGAAGAAGTTAAATTGTCATTATGAAAAATAAGCTTCCCAATTAAACTACACCAATATTTGTGTAATAGCAATGAGAATAAAGCCATATTGATCAATGATAAAACAGCATCCTTGTTGTGATAGTTAAACACCTGAACAAATTGTCTCAAGATCACCTATCTGCTACATCTTAATTACTACTTTTTCAAAACACATCTCTTCTCTTAAACTAAGATGCTCTAAGCCTTCTTATATCACTAGGAAATATATTTTGTAAACTTGCTGCCTCAGGACTGATGGTTAAACTTTTATAAAGAAGATGTCTTACCAGTGATTCTATTATTGATAAGCAGAGTTTTTACTAATGGCTCAATTCTTCTCATATGGTACTGAACTCATCTTACACAGCCGGTACTATGTCTCACTTTAAGCTCTCTGATATCAATTGTTAGCGACAAATTTATGAATTTGATGACAGTCTTACGTTGCTATTACCTTAACCTATCAATAACTCACTTTTACTCACAATAGTTACAACTTTGTTTTATTTACTAATATAGTAAAAATGTATATATATATCATTACCATACCTTTCCAGTTTTCATTAACAACTACCATACTAAGTCAAAATGGCTCTCACTTTGCATTTAAATCTAAAAAATTAAAGATCTTAAAGCAATCATTTAAAGGTACTATCCTGAAATAAATCCTGAACACCCACATTTTTATAAAGCATAAACCAGCATTATGCTTTCCTTTAAAGTAAGAAATGTTCTTAGTAATACCAAATATAAAAATTGGAATAAAATTGAACATCTTAGAAACAAATAGCTTACCAAAGTGGGTCAGCTTTAGTTACTTCATCAAAAAGGCAAATATACAAGCTAAAAATTCCAACCACTAAAGAATGGCATGTGGATACAACCCTGAAATGAAACAAAAAGATAAATATTTTAAGATTATTTCCAATAAAATTTGGCAAGACACTGAATATCCTTAAGAATTTCTATAGTAAAATATACTTGAGCATGTACTACAAAAATGCCATTTCTAAATCGAAGGGATACATTTATTTCAGAACTAATGACAAAAGCAATGCCCATGTCTGCAATTCCCTGTTAGAAAACCAAGAATCACCTGGTGATGAAAAGAAGCACTAATACAGAATTATAAGTAATAGTTTCCTGTTCTTTAGGAAATGAATTAGGAATGCATACCCATCTGCTGGATTCAGCTACCTCCTTATCTTTAAAACAAGGATCCCCGGTGACACAGTGTTGGACTGTTAACTGAAAGTTGGTGGTTCAAATCCACCAGCTCTTCTGCAGGAGAAAGAGAAGGCATTCTGCTCCCACCAAGATTAACAGCATTGGAAATTTGACGGAGGGTTGTCAGGAGTCAGAATCAACTCAAAGGGAGTGTTTTACTTTTATACTTGAAAGAAAGAAGTTTATTTTAGTTTTAAATGTACATCTGAACACATTATTTCACTTGATTTTCATAACAAAGCCCTGAGAAAGCTAGGGCAGCTATTATTAATCCTGCTTTAAATATATTATGAAAGCATTTCCACATGAGAAATTGAGGTCCATGTGCAGAAAATCCATTTTTAAAAGAAGCAAAATGAAAATAGAAAGCAAAATAAGATCCAGGGTACATTTTCTTTTATAAAAATAAAACATTTTAGATGAAAAATATCCTTTTCTAGAAACATATCCTGCTAATTTGTAATTTGTCTATTAAACAATATCCAGATTCTATGATGTCACTTAAAGAATTAACTGTGTATTTATTCACATTGTGAAGGGGGTTTTTAGCCAAAAATATGACTTCTTACATCTTTTGGTTGAATTTCTTATGTCATGATTAAGTTCATAAGTAATGAAAGCTTTTTCTGCTCATTAAAAGATGAAAGGAACAGCAAATAGTAATTTCTTTAAAAATTCCTGATGTGCAACAAATTTTTCTTCTTTTATTATGACCCTAAATCTTTCAAAATAATTTCAACATATCAGCCAAAATAAAGCTTGATGTTAGAAAATCTCAATGTAACGATATATTTGACGTAACAGAGCATATGTTTTTAAATGACTGCATAAAGTGGCCTAGTGGTAAGAAGCCATGCTGCAATCCCGAAGGCATGTGGTTCAAATCTACCAGCTGCTCTGCATGAAAAGGATGGGAAATCTCTTCCCGGTGATTAACTACCTCTGAAAATCCACTGGAGGGTCAGTCAACTATTGGACGATTACAACTCAATGGTACATAACAACAATAATCACATTAATGCAAATAGTATTTTAAATGCTCAAGTAATCTTACTAACCTAAAGCACTGACAAAAAAACTCTATCACACCAAAGGATCATTTGGAAGTGTGACTAATTAACCCACTTTATGTGCTTTACAAGCCTGGAATTTTCAAGTCAAGGACATACATTTATTCCATCTAATATAGTAAAATAAAAGTGTAAACTTCTGATGATTAAATGAAAAAGTTAATCTAAATAAATCTTGTAGCCAGTTTTCTGTTGCTAATTTGAAAATTCTTTAAGAAGGAACATTTTTAAAAAATAATCTTTTTGACTATTCCGTTTTAATGTTCAATGTTGATAGGAGTCAAGTACGACTCACAGGAACCCAATGAATAAAAGGCCTGAAGCCCCTCTACAACTATGGACATTTATCAAAGTTCATAGAGTTTCCAGAGGCATGTTGTTTAGGAAGTGGATGCCACTTCTGCTTCCAAATAAACAAATTTAAAAAAAGGTTTCCTTTCAGAAGAAATGTGTTTGTTCCTCATTCTCAAGCCTCAAATTCCCTTTTCTGATAAGACAATGTACAACAAACAGGATACATTAGAAGCCATCAGCTGATGGATGGTTGAGAATTCACCAAAATCAAACCAACCAAGACCACTGTAACGGAGTCCTTTCTGCCTCACTGTGACCCTGAAGGGCAGAGCAGAGCTACCCCATGGGGTTTTCAAGGCTATAAATCTTGACAGAAGTAGATGCCACAGCTCTCTCCTGCTGAATGTCTAGTGGATCCAACCCCAATGACTGGGTTAATTAGCAATTTAACCTTTGGGCCACCAGAGCTCCTGATATAACCCATCAGCCAAAGAGTCAAAGTTATTTATGGGGAGTTAGAACTCACTCACAGTGGGTTTTCCAAGGTTGTAAATCACACAAGAGTTAATCCATTAAGGGAAAATTAAATGTTAACATGAACCAAACAGTGCCCATCACAAAGACCAGATAAAGTAAGTTTACATACTATTTCGCACTAAAAATCTCTACCTTGACAGTTTTCTGTTAGTAAATAATTTCTGCTTTACTCATTAAAGCTAGATTTCCAATAAAGTAAAATTATTTAGTATCTGTGTAAAAAAAAAAAGGTGGGGAATCACTAAGTATTTTTAAATCTTATTATCTATGCCTTATTGAGGAAGACCCTCAAAATATGGATTGGCACAGTGACTGTAACAGTGGGTTCAAGTATATCAGAGATGGTGAGGGTGGCACAGGATGGAGTAGGGTTCAGATTTGTTGTTCACAGAGTCTCAAAGAGTGCCAGTGACACCAGAGCACCCAACAAACCGCCTCCATGCCTAAGGTTATGGGTTGTCTTTGCTATGCTAATGATGCAGAATTAGTGTAAAGTATAGTCAATCTCTTTAGAGATTAACAAAGACATGGGAAGAGATGCCAAGACAAGAAAGCAACAAAGGAGCAAAAGCTCAGAAGCCTCCAAGGCCTTCCTCTAGAGTCAAGAGAGAGGAAAATTTTCCTTAGAGAAGGCAGCCTCAATTAGAGAGTTGTGCTTCTAACACGAAGGTTCCAGTCTACTAGGTCCTTTACTGGTTCATATGCATGATGATTGGGAGTTCATACTTCTGTATGACATGTGCCACACATTAAACCTTGTTACAGCATAGGCACACCACCCATCTGACATGAGGGGGGAAAGAGAGAGAGGGAGAGAGATGGCCAATTTCCTCCCTTTCGATTTATAGCCTCTGAAATCCCCCTGGATGGTCAACGAAGAGCCTGACTCTCCACACATAACAACAAACTGCGGGATGAAGTGCACTCAGAGTGCTCCTTAGAGATATGGACGGTGGAACTTCATCTCAGATACTTAGGACATGTTGTCAGGAGGCACCAGTCCTTGGAAAAATGTACCATGCTGAGAAAGGTAGAGAGTCAGTGAAAGAGAGAAAGAACCTCAACAACATGGACTAACACAGTGACTGTCACAATGGGCTCAAGCATGTCAGAGACCATGAGGATGGGGCAGAATAGGGGAAAGTGAAGATCTGCTGGTCATAGAGTTGCCATGAGTTCGAATCAACTCCATGACACCTTATAAGAGCAAACTATAAGAAAGTAAATGTGTTTCTTAAATCATCCACGTGTGGTCTTTCTGTTACAGCAGCACAAGATAACTAAGGTACTGCCAAAAATAAAATAGTCCTTTCCACCCCCCCAAAGATTAAAAAGAAATGTTAGTGCTTCTCATTGTGCACTTAGGTAATGACAGCAGCTTTGACAGGAGCTCAGTCAAAGGTTCCAAAAGGAAATTAGCATAAAGTTTAAGGCTTCACGGTGGGTGTATTGATACATGAAAACTGGGCTAACGAAAAAGGTTTTTGTTGTGATAACTACAGTATTTTTAAAAATTTTTTTGCAGGGCTATTTTTATGAAAAGTAATATATTTCTGCTGAAATGCTGGAATTAAAAAGAGAAAGAGATCTATGCTTACCAAAAAAAATTTGTTTCCTAGGAAATAATCAATGATCATTTTTCAAAGAGCTATTCAGTTACTGATTTAATCATTCACAAATAGTCTCAAGTATTAATAACAGAAATGATGTCGCTCAAATAAACAGAAGAATTAAATTTGAAGGCAGTGTTGGAGAAGAGTATTGAATATACACCATGGACTGCTAAAAGAACAAGAATGTTCATCCTAAAGAGAGTGAAACCAGACTGCTCCTTGGAGGCAAGGATCTTGATGCTTCATCGGACATACTTTGGACATGTTGAAAGGAGGGACCAGTCTTCGGAGAGGGATGTCATGCTTGGGAGGTTAGAGGGACAGCGCAGGAGAGGAAGACCTTCAATGAGATGGACTGATTCAGTGACTGGGGTAATGAGGGTAGGTGTGTCAGAGACAGTGAGACTGGCATAGGATAGAGAAGGGTTTAGGGCTGTTGTACACAGGATTGCTGTGAGTCACAGGTGACTTGACAGCACATAACAACAACAACAAGAAATTATTACAAATATTTTCTCTTTAAAAAAATTATCTTTTTTATAGTCTACAGGTAAGTATGTTTTCAGAAAAAGTAACACACACAACCTTTTCTAATTATTATGGAAATTGTTGACCCTCAAGTGTACATCATTTTCTGGTGATTTTTTCCTCTTGTCCTTTTTCTGCTGTAGTATTTATTATTCAAAGATTTTCCTGTTTATTAGGAAGAATTATGAGTGCTGTCTGTTTAAACCTGGAGACTGGATTTCAAGGCACACAAAATTACTTTCCTAAAAAAAGAACTATTTTCCCCCTTTTTTTTTTCATTTTCTACTTCACAGATAGAGTGGGAAATAGGAACAACTAAACCAAGAGAAAGACAGAGACAGTGAGAACAGAGCATTTGGATAGTTAAATTAATTCTGCATAATCCCAGGCTCTTTTCTCAGTGGGAACATAGTTCCCCAAAAGGTAATTCCCTGAAGCATAGAATGGCACACACAAGCAAAGTCCTGTTGAAGATTATCCCAAAATGACTGGAACAGTACATGAACAGAGAACTACCAGAAATACAGGACAGATTTAGAAGAGGCCATGGCACCAGAGACTTTTATCACCAATGTCATATAGATCTTGGCAGAAACCAAGGGTACCAGAGAAATGTGTATTTGTGTTTCATTGACTATGCAAAGACATTTGATTGTATGGATCACAATAAATTGTGGATAGCCTTCAGAGAATGGGAATCCCAGAACATTTGATTGTGCTCATGAGAAATCTATACGTGGTCCAGGAAGCAGTCCTCAGAACAGAGCAAGGAAACATTGCATGGTTCAAAATTGGGAAAGGAGTCAGTCAGGGATGTACTCTGTCCCCATACTTTTCAATCTACATGCAAAGAGGATGGACTTTATAAGGAGGAATGTGGTATCAGGATTGGAGGAAGACTCATCCACCTATGTTATGCAGATGACACAACCTTGCTCATCAAAACTGAGAAGACTCGAAGTGTTTTTTCACGGGTCAAGGACTGCAGTCTTCAAATGGATTGAAGCTCAATGTCAAGAAGACAATTCTCACCACTGGGCCAGTTGGCAGTACCATGATAGATGGAGAAGAGATTGAGATTGTTAATAAGTTCAGCTTGCTCAGATCCACAATCAACATTCTTGGCACCAGGAGCCAGGAAATATAAAATTAGTTGCTCTGGGGAAAGCTGCTGTCAGGGACCTCTCCAAAGTGCTAAAGAGCAACGATGTAAGTCTGGAGTCTAAGGTATACCAGATTTTCAGGTCGTGGTATTCACAATTACTTGCAATGGCATCAGAAAGCTGGACAATGGCTCGAGTTGACAGAAGAACAACTGAGGCCTTTGAGTTGTGGTGCTGGAGAAGAGTTTGAACACACCATGGACTGCCAAGAGAACAGGTTTATCCTGGAAGGAAACTGCTTCTTGAAGGCAAGGATTTTGAAGTTCTATCTGACATACTTTGGACATGTGGCCAGTAAGGACCAACCCCTGGAGAGGAACATCATGCTTGGAAAGGTGGAGGGACAGTGCAGGAGAGAAAGACCCTGAATGAGGTAGACCGACACAGTAACTGGGATAATGGGAGTGGGTTTGTCAGAAACAGTGAGTCTGGCTCAGGACAGGGCAAGGTTCAGAGCTATTTATTGTCCACAGGGTCACTGAGAGTCGCACGTAACAACGACAACAATATAAAGCATCTTTCCATTTCATCCTGTGGTTTCATTTTTAGTTTTGCTTTTCTAAGTGCCTCCATATTTCTCTGACTTGCAGATATTAAGAGTTAAAAAATCTTTACTACAAAATAAAAATAGATTGCTCAAAATTAATTAACAAAGACTTGCTCCACCTCCCTTTTCCTTCCTCTTTCTCATCACTGAATTTATCCTCTTGCACCAGGAAAAAAAATGGTTATTACCTTTATCACCATACATTTGAACAATACAATGTATACTATATCCTTAAAATGAATCACACCTCTTAATTTTCAAGGAAATGTGGAGAAATGATTCTTGCTTTGTGGGAAGAAAAACTACAGCATGTGTGAACTAGACAAATCAATGTAAAGTGTACAAGAAAATAATAAAAATCTTATTCGCATTACAATTTATAAATGTAGATGCCTGACAGGTGGAAGCAAGTTAAATGTTCATCAACAGGTAGATGGATAGAGAAGCAAAATGTAACATCTACATGAATAGACTACCATCCTGCCGTAAGGAGAAAAGAAGTCCCAATACTTAGTAATGACATGAATAAACATTGAAACATGTGGCTGAGTGAAATAAACTAGTAACAAAAGAGACAAATGTCCATGTAAGAGCTCACCTGTATGAATGAAGTATCTAGAATAAATATGTAGAGGTCCAAGTTTATCAGTGGCTACCAAGGGCAGACAGGATAGAGCAAGAAAGGACGAGACAATGTTTAGGGTCTCGGAGAGTCTTGAAAAGGTGATGGAAGAATTTAGGAATGATTAAAGATGATGTGATGGCCAAAGAACATGATCTATTCATGTGAACACTGTTGAAATGGCAATTATTTTAAAAACTATATATTTACTTTCTGTCAGAGACGTCTCCAAAGTAATAAAGAGCAAACATGTCAGTCTGGAGACTAAGATGCAGGTGATCCAGGCCAGAGCCTTTACAATTACTGGCTATACATCAGAAAGCTAGACAATGACTAGGGATGATAGAAGGAGGATTAATGCCTTTGAGCTGTGGTGCTGGACTACTGAATATACCATGGGCTGCAAGGAGAACAAACAAGTTCATCCTGGGAAAGGTTACATCAGGCTGCTCCTTGGAGTCAAGGATTCTGAAGCTTCATCTGACATACTTTGGACATGCTGCAAGGAGGGACCGGTCCTAATAGAAGGACATCATGCTTGGAAGGGTGGAGGGACAGTGCAGGAGAGGAAGACTCTCGATAAGATGGAATGATTCCGTGACTGGGGTAATGGGGTAGATGGGTCAGAGACAATGAGATTGGCTCAGGATCTATCCTGAGCCAATCTTGAGCAGGGTTTAGGGCTGTTACTTAGGGTTGCTATGAGTCACAGGTGACTCAATGGCACAAAGCAACAACAATAACAACATATATTTACGACAGTTTTTAAAAGTGAGCCAAAGATACAAGATTTCAGGCCACATAAGTTCTTTTTCTAATACTTGGACATTTGGTAGAAGTTCTTCATTCTAAAAGAAAGTGTTCATTAAAAACAATTGTAGCAATTGAAAGATGTGCTGAATTTATCTCAAAGTACTTCCACAGCTGCAGGAATTCACTGAAGTTATCAAACGAACAGGGATGTTTAGTCACACAAAATCTTTAAAGTGGTGAAGCAGCCATCTCTGTGAGAGACACTTCTGAGAGATTAATGAGTTTCAGAGAAGGGAAAGTGTGCAGCCCATTTATTAAGCTTTCTATATCCTTTGAAATCATTCTCTTTTTTCTGTCATTTTTTTTTCTTCGTAAAAACCAAAACAAAAACCTAGAAGACCGTTTTGCCTTTGAATCACATAGCAAAAGGATACATTTTAGAGGGCTCTAACTTAGAATGAAAAGCATGTTAAACAGATGCAGATGCAGATGCACTGATCTCTGGTCAGTACAGGTAACCCAGGGAGTTGCACTGCTCACACAAAAGCAGCACGTCCCTCATGGTTTGAATTCAGCAGCAGATCAGAGAAAAAAGGATGGGCAATCTCTTCTCCATGGTTTATAGCCTTCCAAAACCCGTGGGATGGTCTGCTATGAGTCAGTTCCAACTCGAAGGCAATGAGTTTGATGCCAACCAGTACTGCATACAAGCCAAGGAATGTTTTCTGTTTCACTTGTAAAGAGCATGTGCTTATTGTCTTAAATATTTACAAAAAAGAATACAAAATAGTATTCACCTGGTGTCTAATATTAACCTTCCCCAAAAGCAAAATAATTTACCTTAATCCATCCAATATTTAAAATTTTAAATGTTATGCTTAAGAGCTATCCACTTATCTTCGATTTATTCCACTTGTTAGGCTCCATCGAGTCCAGTGTGACTCACTGGCTATATATTGTTAACAAAATGCACACACACACACACACACACACACACACACACACCCCTTTATTCCAAAGTTGAATAAAAAACAAAACACAATCCTGTGACCTTAGACTTCATTACATTTTAAATTTTCTTAAAAGGGAGTTCTGATGGCATAGTCTTTCCATAGAAAGTTGTATTGCTAATTCAAAGGCCATATCTCTCTGGCAGTTCAAAACCATACAGGGACTTGAGAGAGAAAGATGGGCAATTTATTAATGGTCTCTGAAAACCTGCTAGAGAAATCAGTGATGAGTGGATTCTAAATCAATGGCAATGAGAAGGAGAAATAAAAAATACTTTTTTGAGATATTTTAAATAGCTATTATACATCACAATATTAGCTGAGGTTTTTTTTTCATTTATTCATTAGTTACATTTTTATATGCTTTACCTTGAGTTCCACTCAATCTTCTTTTCAAAGCTGAGATTATTAAAACTTGGAGAAATTTTTTCTGAAAACCAAGAACTTACAAAGTGGAAAAGAAGTTGAAAGATGACGAAGCTGGTAAGTAAAATGCTTATTATAGAGATGGCATCCATATTTCTTCAACCTGTTAAAAGAAATGGTGGATATAAATGATAAATGCCTAACTCATGATAAATCTACAATGTAAACACTTTAACTTTTAAAGAATAGTTTCTAAAGTAACTTTTTTAAAATTTAGCACAATTATAACAATACAAAGAAACAGAGAGCATTTTAAACTTTTCATGTTTCTTTGCCTTTACCAGCTACTTTTCAGTGCTCTTACTTTTGTATTTAAAGAGGAGGAAAATCTCTTTTAAAGATTTCAAGGTCCACACCCATGTTTATTGCAGCTTTGTTCACAATAGCAAGGAGTTTGAAACAACCCAGGTGCCCATCAACAAACAAACCAATGGATAGAAAAGCTGTGGTATATTCACACAATGGAATACTATGCTGCATTGAAAAACAAGGAACTCATGCAGTACTATTCAAAATGGGTGACCCTGGAAGACATTATGCTGAGTAAAATATCTCAGTCACAAAAGGACAAATATTGCATGGTGCCACTGTTGTAAAATGGGACTGATATCAGTGTTGGGATAAGACTGAGAAAAACTGGATAAATTATGTATACTGCATTAAAACAGATGAGGGAGAGAATAATTTAAAAGCGATATATGATAGGGTATTATAGTTATCACAAGAATCCAGAATTAAGGGTGCATAGTGGAGCGTACCTTGGGCGGTGGGAAGGGTGTGGGGGAATTGTATACTAAAGAA